TTTAGGGTTATTTATTCTAGAACCTACAGAGAATTCAGGCTTGAGCACCGAGTTGTCTCAGTTTCCTACACTAGAGTGGGAGGGGACTGTGGCTTCATAAGACCTGCGGAGGTTTCCAGTAAGGCTCAATATTATCTTTAAGGGAAATTCCAAGAAAAGAAAAATTTAATCAGTAATAACATTACTCGAATTTTCCAACCTATTAAGCAAAATCTAAATGTTCTTAGGAAACCTAAAGGTATAAAAACAAACACCCATTGCTTATAATTTGTGAATTATGAACCTCTATGGTCATCTATGTCACTTTTCTGCATCCAACTCTCCCAGAAAAACAACTATCTAGCCCTTGCTTTTTTTTAAATAACCCACATTTCTGTTGGCAACTTATTTCATCATCTTATTAAACTTGCAGTTCTTCCAAGTATCTAACCCTTTATAATACCTACGTCCTTTCATATGCAACCAAATTCTCTCTTGAGTTTTAATAGGTATAAGAACATGGCCCTTCATCACTCACGCTCTCTCTTCATGTGGGGAGGACTATCGCAATATTAAGTTTCATGGTGCTTAGTTACACAACGGCCTTCTAGTCACCAGGCTGCATAAATATTTGTTCTAATCTATACTTAAGAAATTATTTCCCTAAATTTTCTTGCTCTTAGTATCCTAAAAAGGTTTTTTGTTTTGATTTATATATACATAAATACACACACACACACACACACACACACACACACACACATATATATATATATATATATTTTTTTTTTTTTTTTGAGAGGGAGTTTTGTTCTTGTTGCCCAGGCTGGAGTGCAGAGTGGCGCGATCTCAGCTCACTGCAACCTCCACCTTCTGGGTTCAAGCATTTCTCCTGCCTCAGCCTCCCGAGTAGCTGGGATTACAGGCACCCAGGCACCCGCCACCATGTCCAGCTAATTTTTTGTGTTTTTAATAGAGACAGGGTTTCACCATGTTGCCCAGACTGGTCTCAAACTCCTAACCTCAGGTGATCCACCCGCCTTGGCCTCCTAAAGTGCTGAGATTACAGGCGTGAGCCACCATGCCCAGCATATTTTTTTTTCTTTGAGACAGGCTCTCACTCTGTTGCCCAGGCTGGAGTGCAGTAGCCTGATCACAGTTCACCCTAACCTTTAACTCTTGAGCTCAAATGATCTTCTCACCTCAGCCTCCGGAATAGCTGCGACTAAAGATGCCTGCCAACATGCCCGGCTATTTTTTTTTTTTTTTGGTAGAGTTTGGGTCTCAAGTTACCCAGGCTGGTCTTGAACTCCTGAGCTCAAGTGATCCTCCGGCCTCGGCCTCCCAAATTGCTAGGAGTACAGGTAGGAACCACCACGTCTAGCCTCCTAAAAAGGTTTCTACCAGTCTAGGATCCCAAACTACATGAGACTAGAGAGTTAAGCAGAGAATCCCTCAAATTGGTCACCCGATTCTACCTCTTCGATTCATGTCTGTTTTGCAGTCACAGTACTTGACCGATTCCCAGTTTCTGAGACCCACTGAGACCCCAGGTCCTTAGCAGATGTGTAAGTGCAAAGTCAATTCATTTCAATTTTTCCTAATGGGCCACACATTCTTCCCTATTAGATGTATCCTATTTATTTGTTAGCCTCTGGTGTTTTAAAAGTGTACATCATCACATCTTGACTCTAAATAAATGACACTGGGGTCTTATCAATAAAACAAATGGAAATATTTGCACAGTTAGCTTTTAACTCCTCGAGTTTCAGCTTCTGGACCCAAGATAAAAGTCATATTCTGTTGCAGCAACTCTTCTTTGCTAGAGATTAAGACAAAGACAGACAGACATACAGACACACACACAGACCAAGATTTAGCTTTTGTTTCTTGTTTTTAATGTCTGAAATGGAGTCAAACCATTAATAACCAGTTCAAATGACTTTTGTAGCACAACTCATTTCCTCATTTCCTTCTGTTAAAATTCCACCTTTCACCAGGCACGGTAGCTCACGCCTGTAATCCCAGCACTTTGGGAGGCCAAAGTAGGTGGATCACCTGAGGTCAGGAGTTCGAGACCAGCCTGACCAACATGGTGAAACCTCATCTCTACTAAAAATACAAAAATTAGCCAGTCGTGGTGGCAGGAGCCTGAAATTCCAGCTACTCGGGAGGCTGAGGCAGGAGAATTGCAGAACCCGGAAGGCAGAGGTTGCAGTGAGCCAAGATCACGCCACTGCACTCCAGCCTGGGGGACAGAGTGAGACTCTGTCTCAAACAAACAAACAAAAAAAATTCCACCTTTCAATGCATATCTTATTCTTTAAATCTCAGCTATCTTGGGCACCGGGGCATCAGACAGCACCCTTGGCACCTTGGAAAGTCCCAGAAAGTTGTAGATGGAAAGTGGAAAGCTTGCAATTTCATCTACCCATAGAGATGCAAAGAAGCCTTCCTTTGAAGTTATTTTAAGAAAGAAAGAAAAAAATCAATTAAGCACCATTTTCCTGGAAGTCAATACTGTGACTAGGTGGTAATTGGTTTATATAATAGATGGGAGTTATCGTGTAGGTTTAGGGTTACATTGGATAAAATGAGAAAAATGAAGATGCAGAGACTGAACTCTTCCTGAAAAAAAGAGCTCAAGGAGGTTTCAATCTTTCACAAAGCAGTTACAGAACCTTTTCAGTCACTTCTTGAATACATTGGCCCCATTAATCCAGGAACCCAGAAACATCTTACAAACATCAATTAAGTCTGGCAACATGCTTTATTTACAAATAGGGAAACTTGGCTGTTTAGGGACAGAGAAGCCCAACAATGAGTCAGGGCTGCTGTGGGCACTGGACCCGGGACTCTGGAATCTCCATCTCTGGCAGGGAGATGTGATCTACCTCTCAAGGGGATAAAATGTCCACAAGAAACAGGTGGCAGAGAAGGAAGTGAATACACACTTGTTGGGATGGCGCAAGACAATGGATGGCCAACAGCACCCGTCTGAAGCTGGAAGGGAAGCTGACCCACTGCCCCCAGTGTCATTTAATCAGAGGGAAGATCAGCATTTCTGCAGCCCCTCCTTAGCAAAAACACTGCTCACCTTATGGCTTGTAAATTGATGCTGTGAGATACCCCACATCCATCCTCACATCAAGGCTAGTTTTATCTGATTTGAGTTCAGAAATGCCTGATCATCTTTGGCCAGGTAAGTGCATCATCAGATATTCCATTTGCAAGCCTACATGCTGAAATGGAACCCACCCCACAGTAAAGGGAGCCTCCGAGGACAAACCCTCTGGCTTTTCCTGTCTCCCTCACAAGGGAAAGTTAAAAGGCTATGTATATCTAAAACACACAAAGCGAATCAGTGTGCTTCCTAAACTGTAGGCTTTTGGTGCTGACTGGCCTGCATATTTAAGATCTAACAAAGTAACCAGCTAAGCTAATCGAGGCTAGCTTTGGTATACCAGATGAATATAATCAGACGTTCCTTTGGGTGAAGTACTGCCCTTTCCGAACACCTGTGAAAAGGAACAAGTAATTCGGTAATATCATGGAGTGAATGGTTTTTGCCCCGTTTTTACTGCGGAAGTGAAATACCGTGACACAATCTTTGGGAGCTACATCCACCAGGATTAAGACCAGAGAGAATAACTCCACCAACTCCAAAAAGAAACAATGCCCAGTTCTGCTCGGCCAAGGGCCCATCCGGGCTCCCTCCAACCCGGGGAAATATTTACTAACGTGGGGCCCAGGGCACACACCACACTGTTGTAACATTCTTTCTGGAGGGGCAAATTCTCTTCACCAACCCCCCAGGCAAGTACAAGGTAGAAGGGGTTAGCAGTCAGGTGACAGCCCGCATACACCATTCCCCTCCCCCAACCTCCACCCGCCCTGCATTGTAAAGGCGTTGCCCCCGGGGTTAGCCTTTAGGGCGGGGGTGTCAGCTGGTTTGAGGCCTCCAGTTCATCTGCCCAGAGCCCTAGCCCAGTCATTCTGGGCTCGAAGTGTTCTTCCATTCAGTGAAATACCCAGGAGGCCTTCCACCCAAGCGAAGACGAGTATCAGACAGGGACTACCACCCTAGTAAGAAGGCACCTGCCCATGTTTAGTTGGAATTCATCTCAAATTCACTTAGTGCTTACTGTGTGCCAGACGCTGAGGGGCGTCCTGCAGACTCAAAAGCGCCCCAGGCCGGGCGCGATGGCTCACGTCTGTAATCCCAACACTTTGGGAGGTCGAGGTGGGCGGATCACCTGAAGTCAGAAGTTCGAGACCAGCCTGGCCAACACGGTGAAACCCCGTCTCTACTAAAAATACAAAAATTAGCCGGGCGGGCCAGGCGCGGTGGCTCACGCCTGTAATCCCAAAACTTTGGGAGGCCGAGGCGGGTGGATCACGAGGTCAGGAGTTCAAGACCATCCTGGCCAATCTAATGAAACCCCGTCTCTACTAAAAATGCAAAAAGTAGCCGGGCATGGTGGCGAACGCCTCTAGTCCCAGCTACTTGGGAGGCTGAGGCAGGAGAGTCGCTTGAACCCGCGAGGCGGAGGTTGCAGTGAGCCGAGATCTTGCCACTACACTCCAGCCTGGCGACAGAGTAAGACTCCGCCTCAAAAAAAAAAAAAAAAAAAAAATAGCCGGGCGTGGTGGTGCGCGCCTGTAATCCCAGCTACTCGGGAGGCTGAGGCAGGAGAATCACGTGAACCAGCGAGGCGAAGGTTGCAGTGAGCCGAGATCGTGCCATTGCCATTTGCACTCCAGCCTGGGCGACAGAGACTCTTTAAAAAAAAAAAAAAAAGCGCCCCAGACACGGTCCCTTCTTCCAAAAAACCCCAAAGCTGGGAGAGCTGGGCGGGACAGAAGGGGAAGCCAGGTGACCAGCACCGGCCGAGGGCTCAGTCCCGAAAGGCCTTCCTTGACGCTGCCCGGCTTACTCTCGAAGGGTCCAGCGCCCAGACCTCCCTGCCAGAGGGGTCCGCGCCCCCAGGAAGGGCCCTCCCCTCCCCGCCCGTACTCACTGCGTCTTCCTGCGGCCCTGGTCGCGGTGCAGATCCCGCAGGTCCACCTCGGCGCGGCCCAGGAACTTGTCGAGGCCGAGCAGCGCGCGGTGCAGCACGGTGAGCTGCAGGGTGGCGGCGGCCGCGGGCCCGGAGGACAGCAGCGGCGGCAGCTCGAAGGTGGCCTCCTCGCGCCACACAGGCGCGCCCAGGCTGCGCTCCGACACCGAGGTGGCGTACTTCTCCTTGCCCACCTGGATCACCGCGTACGCGTCGCTCGTGCCCCCGGGGCCCTTGGCCCGCAGGCCCCGCGCCTGCAGCACCGTCACCTGCACGTGGGTTGGGGACCACACGGCCCCCAGGCCCCGGCCCGCCGAGGCCATTAGGGACATGGTGACGATAACGCCCCAGACGCGAGGAGAAGATCGCGGCGACTGGCGGCCTCTACGACCCGCCCCGGCAACCAGGCCACTTTAAGGCTTCCGGCCACACCCCCGCCAGGCCACGCCCCTCAGGGCTAAGGCCACGCCCCTGTCCGAGTCGCCTGCTCCACCTGCTGCGCCGCGCCGCGCCGCGCCCCGCCCAGCCCCACCGGCCTCAGCAGAGCGGGCAGCTAGGGGCAGCCCGGCGCCGCAGGCGGGGCTGGCGCGGCCAGGTAGGCGGGGGAATCACGTGAGCAGGGGCGGGTGCATCGAGAATCCGATCTGAGATGTGGTAGGTGACGGATGGGGTCCCCAGCTGCCAAAGGTCGCATGGCGGGAAGGAGCTGGCCGAAGCACTGACTTGGAAGTCAGACCTCATTTCCTGGGTCACAGCGCCAGTCGTGGCCTTGCGCGGGTTACCTAACGTCAAGTCTCAATTTCTTCACCTGACAGGCACCTCCTAGGATTGCTGTAAAAAATAAGAATAATAATAATGCATTACAGTTCTTGGCCCAGTGCCTGGCTCATGGTGAGTTGTCAGTAAATAACCATGACCAGCACGTTGAGAGGCTGAGATGGGAGGCTCTCCTGAGCCCAGGAGTTCGAGACCAGCCTGGACAACATAGCCAGATCCCTGTCAATACAAAAAAAATTAAAAATAATTAGATGGAAGTGGTGACAAGCGCCTGTGGTCTCAGCTACTTGGAAGGCTGAGTCTGGAGGATCTCTGGAGCCCAGGAGGTCGAGGTGCAGTGAGCCGAGATTGTGTCACTGCACTCCCAGCCTAGGCAACAGAGCAAGACCTTGTCTCAAAAAAATAAAGTTGGTAACTATGAGAGTGCTAAGGAAGATGCCCACCCAATTCACTACGCTTTCTACTTCTCCTGCTGGAAAGCCTTGCTCTGAAGGAAGGTAGCTACAGAGGAAGGTGAGGACCTTGTGAGGGCCGGAAAAGGTGAAGGTATCCTGGGGAGCATGAGTTCAATGTGGGAGTGTCCTATTTTGCCCTCCCCTCACCAGATAAGGCAAGGCTGAGTTAGAAAAAGGGAAGAAAGGAGGAACTGAAAATGGGATTGCCAAATCAAACATCGGGACAGTGGCAGGCCCCTAGCCCGCAGTTCCCCATTTCTCCCTTGCCAGGCCCTCTTTAGTCTCTCCCTGCCTCTATCCCTGGGCTCCCAGGCAGTCCTTTTCTTGTTCCAAATGCCTAATAGATTGGCTGCTTCCCTTCATTTCCCAGGTCCTAGTTCAAAGGCTTAACTGTTCAACTGAGTCATCAGATTGGAAAGGTCACTTGGAAGGTTTTAAAGTTTTACAGTTAAGGAAAGGCTCAGAAGAGAGGAGTGACATGTCCAGGGTCCCTCTGCAGAGCTGGGACTGGGATTCCAGTGTCCTGACTCCCAATCAGCTGTTCAGTGCATCTCTTGATTCTTCCAGATCCACAGAACCCCAGTCGTGGATGGCTACTCATATCCCTCCAATCTCCAGGCTCTCCTCCCTCTGGTCCACACTGCACATTGCTTCACTAACCTGCTGGCTGCCTCACCAGCAACCACATTATCTTCCGATTGAACAGAGATTTCAAGACATTCCATTTTGGCCCCCCCCTACCGCATTCTCCTCTATCTCCCGAACAAGCAAACCTGTAGCCCAGACACTTTTTACCTCCAGGCCTCTATGTTGTACCCTTGACTGTCCTTGCCAACCTCTCACTGCAAGGGTTCACTCATATTTCTCCAAGATTTTACTTTCTATGCCCTGCTGAAGGCAGGGACCAGGCGGTAACTTATTCAACTTGTCTCCTTCACAGCCTCCAGCACAAACCTGGGTACACAGTAGGTACCCAGGAAGTGCTACTGAACTGAAGAGTTTGCAGGTTAAGTCGGCCAACCATGAGGACCAAGTGTTTCCTTTTACCATGTAGGAAATTAGAAGACAGAGGTATGCCTCAGGTTTGCAACTGAAGGCAGCTGCAGTGCGGGAAGGACCTGTTTAGTATGTTGGAATTTTTCTTTTTTCTTTTTTCTTTTTCTTTTTGGAGACAGAGTCTTGCTCTGTCACCCAGGCTGGAGTGCAATGGCGCAGTCTCAGCTCACTGCAACCTCTGCCTCCTGAGTTCAAGCAATTCTTGTACCTCAGCCTCCCAAGTAGCTAGGATTACAGGTGTACACCACCATGCCCGCTAATTTTTGTATTTTTAGTAGAAATGGGGTTTCACCATGTTGGCCAGGCTGGTCTTGAACTCCTGACCTCAAGTGATCTGCCCACCTTTGCCTCCCAAGGTGCTGGGATTACAGGTGTGAGCCACTGCACCTGGCCATGTTGGAAATATGTAAAGGTGATGGGAGGAGCGGGGGAAAGGACCCAGCAGGCATAGAAGGGGCAAGAAAGCCTAACAGGACTGTGTTGTTTTGGTGCCATTTTCCCTTCTGGATGATCCATTATACTCATTCAACATTATGGCTCAATTAATTTCCATAAAGGCTTCTTGAGGCCAGATGCAGTGACTCACACCTGTAATCCCAGTGCTTTGGGAGGCCGAGGTGGGAGGATCGCTTGAAGCCAGGACTTCAAGACCAGCCTGGGCAACACAGCAAGATCTCATTACTACAAAAAAAGATTAAAAAATAAAACCAAAAATTAGCCAGGCATGGTGGTACGCAACTATAGTCCCAGCTACTCAGGAGGCTAAGGTGAGTGGATTACTGGAGCCCAGGAGTTTGACGCTACAGTGAGCTATGATTATGTCACTGCACTCCAGCCTGGGCAATAGAGCGAGACCCTGTTACGATTTATTGAGCACTTGCTTTGTGCTAGACATGTGCCAGGTGCTACCAAGGGCACAAAGCTGAATGAGACTCAGTTCCAAGGTACTCCATCATCATCTAAAAGAAATTCTGATTACTATGATGCTTTGGGTGTTTTGAGGAAAGAGCGATTTCTGTAAGTTGGTGGATTTTTGTGAAGGAGGAGGGGCTCAGTTGGGCCCTAAAGGATGTATCAGATTTGACAGAAAGAGGAGGAGACATATGAGAAGAGCATTTCAGGAGACAACAGGAGAACAGCCTATGCAAAGATATGGGGACCAGAGAGTCGTGGCATTTCCAGGTTTCACATACGCCATTGTGACTGGAGTGTAGGATGCTTTAGGAGGCCACTGAGAATGAGTGGTAGAAATAAGACAGAAATAGGACAGGCTGGGCTCAGACCATGAACACCAGGCTAAGGAGTTTATGCCACAGTGTGAGACCGGGGAGCCAGCCTTCAGAGAACTTTGAGCAGTGACCTGGTTAGGCTGTTCTCAGATTGCAAGGAGATATGAGCAGAAGGAGCCCAGCAGCCAACAGCTTGGCAGGCAGGTCACAGCCAGATGCCTTCATTCATTTTCACCTGGGGATTGTCTGCCTTCTGCCCCAATCTGTCTACCCCTTCCCCATCTTGGAGTCTCTTCTAAGTTGGTACTGAATTAAATAAGAGGGTATACACTTTCCTCTTGATTATCCTACTTGTCCAATGTTCTACTACACACTAGCCGAACAAAGTCATAGATTTCAGTTCAAAACTGACCTGGGGAGGTAGGGCACAGTGTCTCACACCTGTAATCCCAACACTTTGAGAGGCCAAGGCTAGAGGATCACTTGAACCCAGGGGTTCAAGACCAGCCTGGGCAACATACTGAAACTCTGTCTCTATAAAACAAACTTCAAAAATTAGCTGAGTGTGGTGGCATCCACCTGTGGTCCCAGCTACTAGGGAGGCTGAGGTGGGAGGATTGCTGGAGCCCAGGAGTTCAAGGCTGCTGTGAGCTATGATTGCACCACTGCACTTCAGCCTCGGCAACAGAGAGGGACCCTATCTTTAAAAACAAACAAACAAACAACAGAGCCTGGGAGGAAGTTTTTCAGCTCTAGTCCCCCCCTCCTCTCCAACACTCACATTTTTAGTGCTGCTCCCCCAATAAAGAGAACAAGGCATAAAGCCTAGCTGGACAGCCTCCCCAGCTGAGTATGAAACAAAACGTGTCTTCCACTCATGGAAAGGATTAGAGGACAAAGAGGGTGGGGAAGGACCTGTGACCTCATGTGTTTGAGTTTCTGTGAGACACAAATAGACTTTGGTGAAAGCCGATGTGGTAGTTTGGAGGCGGGCACAGCTGCCTCACCACCCAGGAGAAATCCAGACCATTCTCATCAGACACTGGCCACTGGCAGGGGTTAGCTCAAAGGAGTGGGGGCTTCCCAAGGCAGGAACTGGAAATTTTTCAGAGAAGAGAGCGGCCGGAGCCCCAGCACCAGGTGTGCCGCAGAGCTGCCTTGCTGCCTCCAGCTGCTTTGGTGGCTGTTTTTTCCCCTCCACCAGCCCAGAGCACATTGTCCCCACGACTCTCTGCCCAGGAGTCACTGTCTTCTCCCAATTTTCCAGACCCAGAATCCAGGCTGGGGGATGCACAGGGACAACAGCAAGGGCAGTGACAAGGCGGGCACCCTGCAGGCCCCCGGCTCCCTGCCAGCCCTGGGAAGACTCCACCGTGGCCGACCCTCCCCGCTCCCAAAGGCCAGGCCGTGCTGGCCGGCTGAACCCGCTCAGGGTCACTGAGTTCCAGGAGTGTTTGTAAGTACCTCCCGCAGCCAGGGTGCAGCGGCGGGACAGGAGAGCTGCACCTTCCTCCCACCCTGCCCCGCCTCTAGCTCGGACTGAAAGAGGAAGAGTTTCAATCAGCCCTGAGCACGTGGACAAGCCTGGCAGGTTAGACTGGACAGGTGAGACACCTGTCCTACTTCAAAAACAGCAGAGCAGAGAGTGCTAGGACTCCCAGCCACCTGGATGGTCCTGGGCAGCCGAGCTGTGCAGTTAGAGCTGAAGAGAAGGCAGGGCTGTGTCTAGGCCAGCAGGAAGCACCTCTTGCATAAGAGAGTCTCTGGTGCCAAGCTGGGGGAGAGGAGAAAAGGGGTTCCAGGGAGAGAACCCTCCTGGCAATCACTCCCCCAGAGCCCTTCAGTGTCCCTGATCACCCTGCTGC